GAATCGGCAATACTTTGAATTCCACTATCCGCCGTAGGAGAACAATCCGCGACAACATTGTAACTATGCTGATAATGACAAGATGACATTCCACCATTTAAATCAACCTAGAAACAAGCACTGTTATGAATCTTTGAGTTTTTTTAAAATACATGCTAAGATAAATCAAAATACGAATAAAATAGGAGACCGCTCAAGTAGCAGATATAAAAGAAAAATTTTATTTACAGCATAACCAACCAATGCAATATACTAACTTAAGGCACAAATAACAAAACACATCAAGTGATAAACAACGAATATGATCCGGCAAAATCTTAGTCTAAATATGATGGTAAACAGCAAACCTGCATATGTGTTTGAAAGTTAGACTGCACCGGTGTACATGTCGAAGAATCTTGAATGTGCATCATCGCCGGAGAACTATTATGATATTGATGCTGCTGTGGTGGTGGAGGAGGTGTCATGTTATGCTGCTGTGCATAATGATTAGAAGTTATCATTACTGTTTTATCAGTTATAAGCTGTGATTGCTGTTGATGCATAATTGGAGGATTCAAATCAACATGATGATGTGCCATTTCCTATAAGTATTTAGTTGAAAACACAACGCAGAAAAAGAGACTAAGCACAAGAGACCATGAAACAAATTATTTAGCGAAAGAAAAGCCGAAGAAAATGTCAACATTTGAAAATAAATACTACAAAACCTATAAAAATATATCTATTCAGTTTCAACTCTGTTTAATAGACAATATCTAACTTTGAATACTACTTTTTAGTGTTTTATAGCTGGAAATTTCATGAATGCACTCCCTTACTGATTAGAATTAAGTTCACCGACACAGTGCCAACTTAACCAATGAGTGAATTAAGCAAAATGATCTGATTCGTTGGAATTATTCATTTTTATTAAGAGTTCCTCATACAGTTGTGTTCTGTGTGCAAACCGTAAGATTAATTGGAACATATGCTCTATTGAGCAACCAAATAATTTTAAACAGACAGAAATACAAAACAGATTTTAAAAAAAAAAAAAAAAAGTGAGAAGAATCAGCAACTACCTGAAGCAAATCAATATCCGATTTGCCGGATGAAAAGCTTTGTGTTATGGAAGAAATGGGTGGAAAAAACGAAGTAGTGCTTGTACACGGCATTTGACAATCATATGATTCATTTACGTTCATTTGTGGTACAACCTGAAATTACCAAAATAATTTTATTTCTTTCATTTTATAAAGAAACTGCGAAATATAAAAGTAATAAATGAAGTATATGTGACTGGAGCAGATATGAATAAAATCACGGATTTTTTTGGTTTTTGCAAACGCGATAATATGCTATAAACTGACATTCAAAACATAACCTGTGAAGGCGATGGTGACTCGAAGGAACCGCTACTAACATTCGAGCGTGGTGCCGCGTGTAACCAGCCATCAGTACCACAATGCTGCGGTTGCTGTTGCTGTGGTTGAAGATGATGATGTTGTATAGGTGGTGGTGGTGGTGGTTTTGGAGGTGCTGGATGATGCACTGATTGCGGAGCTGGTGGTGCCAAATGTGCCGAGGTACAAGGTGTCGGCTGTATTCGTAGAACGCTTGGAACTACCAGTTTTGGTGCGGCTGTTGAAAGAGTAGCTGATTGCTTCTGAATAGTTGCAGGTACCACATGCAAGGATTTTGGAATACTACCTGATGGTACTGCTACTGAAGCTGTACTACTTACTGATGCATTTGAAATCTAAATTGATAATATTTAGATATTGCATTTAAGAATTATCCGACAGCAACATCGTCGGTTCAAGTTTTAGTCAAAAAATTTCAAAGCATTTCGTTTCTATAATACTAACCAATTGTCTTTCTATTTCTCACACTAATGAAAATAAGACCTAAACCTTCACGTAACGTTAACATATAAGTATGTTTCTAAAAAAAAGTAAAAAGACATGAAGCATTACATGCATAATGGTAATGTTTACAATTAAGATATACAAACATCCAATAATCTTCGTCACGCACTATTAAATGACGTGTTTACTCAGTTTAAAATCATTTCTTAATCCTTAGTCTTCAAAGATTTAGTAAACATTTTCTTTATAAAAACGTGCCACTATTTTGTTCATTTTCCAAACTAAAAAAAAAAAAGCTTTGCTCTTTTCTTGTCTTTTTTTTTTTTAATTTTAAATCAACAAACTAACAAATATTTCTTTTACATATCATTGCCTATGTAATTAAAATAGCTTCAATTGACCAATATATTATATGACTTTTCATAATAATTTCTATATGAAATATCTTATTCCATAATTATTTCTATACTAAATGCTTTATGTAATAATGTGTATAAAAAGATAAAAAATGTTCAGATATCTTTTGTTTTGTCCTTTTTTTCTTTTAATTCTAAAAAATTAAAAATTTTCGAAAAAAAAAAAAAAAAAACTACGATAAACAAACCGTTTGACCGGTAGCATTACCGGTTGATGAGGTTGATGGTCGAATAAGAAAGCCAATAGTACAATAAGACGAACTATTGCCACCATTGGTTGCACTACGAAGTACACACGGTACAGCTTCCAGTCCCATTCTATTGTTGTCGTAAGATAAACATCAACTTTTACATATCGTTGTTTACTGCAACTGATCAATATATCATATAAAATTATATTTTCAAATTTTCAAGAATCGGATCAATTTCAACATTTTGCGCTCAATTTGATATAATAAATATACTAATATGTTAAAATTATATAAAGAATACATACATTACTTCATGGAAAAAATATGACGAAAATAAAATACAAAAAAAAAAAAAAAAAAGAAAAAACACACAAAAAAAAATTCACATCGATCAAAATCTTTAAAAAAAAAGAAAGAAAAAAAATAAACTGTACACATTTTATTAAAATTTAATCAAATCAGATAAAACAAAAAAGTGTGATATAGATGAGAAAATTTATATTAAAAAAGAATTCTACCTAACAAAAAATGGCTTTTATCATAAACACATTTTCCTAATTACTACTTTTCTTTTTAACAATAATCATTTTTTGTTTATAAAATAACGAAAAAAGAAAAAGAAAATATTTATTTATCATTATCAAATAATAAAATGATAAGTCATGAATATCTAGAAAAAGTGTAAAAATTTCTTTTTCTTCATTTATTTTGGAATATATATTGAATAAACATAAAAATTATGAAAATTTTCTTTATCCATATTTTTTAGAAACATTCAATTTCAATATTTATATATTTAATACATCCAATTATTTATTAAAATCTATGCATATAAATCATGAAATGGTAAGTATGAGATGAATATAAGTAAAAAGATAAAAAATGAACAAATTTCAGGAAAGAGAAAAAACTAAAACAAATTTTGCACTGATAAATTATGATGGAATTATTATAATTACTTTCATTGTTAACATTAAATTATTTTACATTGTTGCAAAAATTATCTGTCTGAATTTATTATCATTGCTATCATTACCTGCAATTCATTCATCTATGCATCATTACAAATTATCGTTATCAGTTGTTATCACTGCTGTTAAACATGCTTATTTCGATAGTATTCTATAATCACTCATTAATATTATTAGTATTATCGTTTAATGCGACCAATCGTGCTAATCAATCACATTTTGGAAAAATAAATTTATTATTTCTGTTATTGTTAAATTCACTTTTAAAAAATAACTCAACTCATAAGGTTTATATTATACTTTAATTTAACGCTTTAACATTGTTAACAGAGGAAAATAGATTATTAAGCGTAAACGAAGCGTTCATCAATGAGTAAACAAGCGGAAAAAAAAACCTATAACATTCTTTTTTTTTTTTTTTTCTCAGTGAAAAGGTAATAAGTTGACAGTGTTGTAGACAAATAAAGCTGAGTAAACAAGTGAAAAAGTAAACAAAACTATGTGTTTATTTAATTTGTGAACAATGAAAGCTAATCACAAATTTGATAAAATTTGATGCATTAGCTTATTCATTCACTTCATTTGCACTTCTTTGTAAACATGATATTTAACAAAAAATTGATTATCACAAATACATTTTGCTTGATCAAATAGCCTCACTGATAAGCTTCATTTGCTTATCATTGGTTTAACAATTATCATTCGTAAAAAAAACATATGAAAAAAATGCATAATTTACGAACGAATAAAAATAAGTGCATCTTATTTAAAATAATAATAATTTCAACCAATTATTTAGTGATTGCAAATTTATGAGGAATTCTTAAGTAACACTATGCCGTAATAATTTACCTTTATAATTTCTCAGTCAACTACATGCAACAATACATATTAATAGTAATGACAAATAACAATGAAACTAACTAGTTAGTTTAGAATAACAACAATTATAATAAACTGACATTATTAATCGGGTTATACGATAATTAAAGATTAAATGTTGGATAAATATGACCAATCAAAAAATAAAAAAAAAAAAAAAAATCTCTGTGATAAACATCATTGCTGTTTCTGTCTTACATAATTATCATAATGATAACAGCAACAAAAAAGAAAAAAATACTGATAACGTAAATAAAATCTAACTGATTAATAATTAATGCTAACATTGATACTCATGAATGTACTGATTAAGCTGATAAAAACAATGCCATTAATGAATAGATAATAAAGATCAATACTAATTACAATCATTGAAATGATAATAACTTAATAAGATGCTGCTATCTAGTAAACGCAAATAATTGCAAAAATGCAACGATAAACAATTATAATATTAAAACTAATAATAGTAATCTAATAATAATAGTATTTATAATAATAACAATAATAATAGTAATACTTCTATTAGTAATAATAATAATGATAATAATAATAATAATAGTGGTAATAACAATGAATGAATAAACAAATGGTAATAATATTTAGATTGTATATTTGCGAGAGGTGCTGAGGTGCTAAGTGGACATTATTGGTTAAAAAGAAAAGGATGACAAAGAGGAGAGGAGGTAGAAAGGTACAAGAGAGAGAGAGAGAGAGAGAGGGAGAGGGAAAGAGAGAGAGATTTGATGAAGAAGGGACGCGCGAGTCGCTCTCAAATATAATACATATCTATCCATCGTTGTCGTCCAACGACCTCATCAATAAAATAGGTCCATTACTATCAATCTAACATATGTGAATGAGTACTCACTCTCTCTCTCTCCCCTCCCTCCCTCTTTCTCTTTCTCTCTCTCAACAATTTCTAAGGCAAAAATAGCAAATAGATTTCTCACTATTCCTTAGAGATTTAAGTAAAAGAAAGAAAGAAAAAGCAAGAGAGAGAAGAAGAAAAGAAAGAAAGAAAGAAGGAAAGAATGAAAAATGATACAATGAAGAAGAAAGAATTGAATGTATTGTTAAATGTTGATTATACAACTAAGAATTCCTTTTTTTTTCGTAGATGAGAAAGAGAAAAAGAGATAGAGATAAAGAGAGAGGGGAGAGAGAGAGAGGGAGGGAGGGTGAGGTAATAGAAGAGAAGATTGTTATTTTCTCCCTCTTATAGAGAAAAGATTATAAATGGATGAAATTTTTGAAAGAAAAGAAAATGTAAATTCATCCCACATATTATACCTCTCTTTTTCTTCTAAATACACACACACACATGCACACATACATATATAAATACATACATACATACCCTAGTGAGGTTGACATCGTTGACAAGGATGATGATTGCACCTTCTCTACTATCATCCTACTTCCATTCATTCATCCTTCCTTCCTCATCTCGTCCTATTCATTCCTCCTTATATATATATTTTTTTCCTCTCTCTTCTTTCTTTTCAAATAAAAATTATATTTTTCTAAAGAGTATTGTCTTTTCATTCAATGTATGTCTCTCATCGTTTTTCTTCTTCTTCCTCTCCCTCCCTCTCTCTCTCTCTCTCTCTTTTCCACCTTTCATAAAACTAAGCCAACAATTCAATTCAATTCCATCCATTTCATTTCATTCCGCTCGTTATAACAATTCCACATTCTATCAGATGTGACACCCTCGCCTATCCCACCACCCTCTTTATTTACTTATATGCATTTCACTCATCTTACATGGATTACTTTGCAGGAGAGGCTATCATCAATAACTATTATCGCTTTACCACACACACACATACACACACATACACATACACACACACACATACACATACACATACACACATACACGCGCACATAGCTAATCCACTTCACTTTTTCGCCTTTTAATACATTAACTTGTTATTATTAACTCTATGAATAATAATACTTAATTATTATTCATTGCATAATTTAATTTAAGAAAATTTTCCCACACGTCCCCACTCGTCATCTATAATTACGCATAAAAACAAATCACGTGAATTATATGATCAATACGTTACGTGAACTGACAAACGCACACATGTTATGGTGAGTGAGTGATGATGATGTACAGATCAATTGATAACAGAATGATGGATGCATGCCAACAGAGGTTGACATTGTTTTCTCCTTTAGCTTGTCCTATTTACACAAACAAACAACTCTAGTAGACATGTGACATACAAAAAAAAGAAAAAGAAAAAAACCGAATGAAACCACAAATAATAACAATCTAAAACAAATAATTGCACTAAAAATGCAACAAAAAAAGAGACGTAAGACTACACGTAATGGTACAGAGATTACACGTATACAAAATAGTGATCACACGTAACGATAAAGAGATTACACGTATACAAAATAGTTTTAACTATTTGAGAAATAGAAAAAAGTATGCTTTATCAGAAAAGAAAAGAAAAAAAAAATCGTTCAATATGGGCAAAATGCCATCAATTGGTTGAACTATTTTGATAAATTTTTTTTAAAAAAAAAAGGAAAAGAAAAAAGAACGATGAAATATGTTTAACAAAAAAAAAAATAATTTAACAATGATTATTATTTTGAATTTTACGATAATCTTTCGAACAAAAAAAGAAAAAATGGCGGCCTTTTTTTGTAGGAAAAAAAATTTTTTTTTTTTTTTTGTTAAAAATTTGTATAAAAGATAGGATTAATGCGAAATTAAATGGAGGTGAAAATTGAATGGAAACTACATCGTATCAATTTTTATTTTAGAAGAAAAAAAAATGATTTCTCAGCTATCATTTAATAGATATTTCTATCTCAATCAATTATATTTAAAAAAAAAATGAATTGAAATATTTTAAAATTTAAAAAAAGAAAACAAAAACATTTTACAATATAAATTACCTTTCTTTTTTCTTTTCTCATTGCAAACTTTATCTAATTAAACCTAATATTACAATTTTTTGTACAATGGAAATAATTATGTTATATCACAACATGTATAATTCTAAATTTAATTAAATTACTAAATGCAAATTAGAAATCATTTTCATTCAAAAAAATAAAAATAAACTTTTTTCATCTCATTTCTTTTGCTAATTTTTGCACAATTTCTAAAAAAAAAAAAAAAAAAAAATTATATGCAAAAGAAAAAATAAAATAAAAGAGAAAGAAGACGAAAAAAAGAAGAAATCGAACTGCAAATTTAACTCAATTTTAGAAAAGTAAAATAACAAAAAGAGAAAGAAAAGAAAACGAGGAATATTATAGTTGTTTATAATAGAAAGGACAAAAAAAAAAAAAAGGAAAAGGAAAAAATTTTTTCAATTATTTCTTATAGAATTGAAATGAAATTTTTTCCAAGATTTCAAGACAATATGCTAAAACAAAAATGATAAAAAAAAAGAGAAAAGAGTGTAAATAGAAAGAGAATTGAAAAAAAGTTAAAAATGTTGATTGAATTGATGATAGAGTAGACTGTTGTGACAAAAAATTTCTCAACAAAATTCTTTTCATCATTTTGCAAAAAAAAAAAGAAAAGAAAAAAAGAAAAAGAAAAAGCTATAATCCTTTATCGCATCTTAATTGGCATATTTAAATAAGAGTTACTGCTAATATTGGAAAAAAAAAAAAAAAAACATAGGAAAAAATGCAAAAATAAAGTAAATAAATAGAAGAGAGAAAGAGAAGAAAAGAATGAGAAAAATAGTGCTAATTAAAAAAGCCTTCTTAAATTCATTAACAAAAAATTATTAAATTTAATAATCGAAAAAGAAGCAAAGAATAATTTGAAAAAAAAAAAGAAAAAAAGAAAAACACATATTATATATATTTTTTTTTTAAAAAAAATAATTTTAAAGTTGGAAATGTGAAAAAAACCCTCTCTCTCTCTCTCTCCCTCTCCCTCTCTCTGTTTTAAACTTTTTAAAGTAATCATTGTTCGAGTAAATAACTCAAAAAGGAAATTATCATTTTTCTTCCTCTCTTTCTCTCCTTTTTTTAAATTAGCTATCATTTACGTATAATCTTTGATCAAATCAAATCAAATAAACAAATAAATGATAAAATGTTACACACATTTCATTTAAATCAATCTAATATAAACAACAAATTAATTTACTCTTTTTTTTTTATTGTTTTCATTAATTTAAATGAAAACAAATTTGAAAAAAAAAAAAAAAAGGCAAATGAAAGAGAAAATTTTTTATCACTCATTCACTAATTCTCTTATCATTTCTTATCATTTTCTCATACACTCTTTCATACATTTATTTCTCTTCCTCTTATCACTCATTTTATTTCATTCTTTCTCTTTTTCTTTTCTTTACTCATTCATTTCAATCATTTTTTTTTTCATTTCTTACAAATCATTCTTAATTTACAATGTACATATGTACGTATACATCCGCATGTGTGCGTGTGTGTACGTACCTGTACGTACGTGTATGTGTGTATGTACATGTATGTATATATGTATGTGTGTATGTATATATATATATGTGTGTGTGTGTGTGTGTGTATGTGTACATGCATGTATATGTATGTGTGACTAAACATTACACCTGTTCTTGTTGTTATTATTATTATTGTTGTTATTGACATTATCAATTGGACTCATTCTAAACTTCGATAACGACCTTTTAATGTTTCAATTATTAACTATTTCAGCATCAGATGTAATGTTTTCAAAAGGGAAAATTCCCTCCTGTCACTTTTCAAATCGATTTCTTATTCGTTTAACCAATGAAATAGAAAAAAAAGACAAGATGAGAGAGAGAGAGAGAGAGAGAGAGAGAGAGAGAGCGAAATGATATAATGAAGAAAAAAAAAACGAAAATTCTGCAAAACTTTGTTTTTACTTCATACATTTTCTTTGCCATACAAATACATACATCAACATACACACATACACACATACATACATACATGCATACATACATACATACACATACACATACATCAAGAAGCCAACAAACAATTTCTCGGTGATTCTTTGGCATACGTTCATTCCTCGGCCACCACCTCCCCCTCCTCCCTCCATCGTCTCTTGAAACAACTCAATGTTAATAATTGAATAATATTGACATCCTTATATAACGCAATACCATTACACACACTCTCTCTCTCTCTTTCTCTCTCCCTCTCTCTTCCTTTCTCTCTCCCTCTCTCTTCCTTTCTCTCTCCCTCTCTCTTCCGATAAACTTTTTAAAACAATTTTGACAACATAGTTGCTTCACTTATATGTTTCATTCAAAATGGCAATTAAATAATATAATAGATTGACAAAAGGGGGGGGGGGGTGGGCATACAGGTATCACTATATAACGACAGATTACAAAAGGTCAAATGGACATTGACCTTTAATGCTATTAATTATGAAATGAATAGATGTGCAATTGAAGTGTATTTAAAATATTAATTATATGCAATAAATTGTATTATTTTCTCAGTAATTCATTTTTTCATTTTTTTAATTATACACAATAAATATGCTTAAAATCATTAAAATTATAACATTAATGTGCAATTGAAGTATATTTAAATTAAATGAAATTTGTTTAATTTAATATATCAAAAAATATATGTTTGATTAATTATATACAAAACTAAAATACTGAAAAAACAAATTTAGCTTTTTAAAAATCTTTTTTTAAAATATTGCCGTGCACAGAAAAAAAAAAAAAAAAAAAAGGAACGAACCGACAAATTAAAGAAATGGAGACATTTTTCAATGAATTTGTAATGTTTTTGGTAGATAGCGGGGAGGAGTGGGTATTGGGAAGGGTAGGGTAGGGATGGACGGGTAGTTGGAAGAGGGAGAGAAGAGGAAGATGGGCAAGGTATAGTGACACGGATACATCATTTCAATTTTCTTCTCTCAGCCCT